GGGGGGGGGTAGCTGGCAGCATAGGACAGCGCTCGAAGCTGATAGGATGAACCGACAAGTCTTCCGCCCTGCCCGAGGCACCCTCCCTCGGGCCGGTGTTAAGGCGGGGCCAGGATGTCGACGGGTTTAATTGATTTGTGTGTCGATAGGAGGGGCGCGAACTGTCCGTGGGATTATGGCGGGGTGGTTATGGGCCCAGCTTAGACCCTCCCCTGCCTCGGCGCCGCTCTGCAAGCATTAGCGCTGATACCCCGGGATGGATCCTGCAATTTACTTCTTCGCCCGACACGGCCCGCGGCGCCTGCGCAGACCCTTCCCCTGTAAAGCGCACTTCACGCTCACTCCGCTGCGCCATATGCACATGGGGCCTTCGCCCCGATATACACTACATATTGCCGTCATAGGGTTCAACGGTCAATTGTGAGCGACGGCATCAACGAGCCTCGAGCCGGGAGTCAAGCAGTCGGCGTCGGACAAACGCCTGGCCGGTCGCGGCCCAGGACTTGCGGACCGGCGGCTCCCGGTAGATCAGCCGGTCAGCCACGCGGGTATATACGGTGTCGTTACATGTCCCCTCCTCTGATATTCCTAACTTTCAACATTGCGAAATTATCCATATGTGAATATGCACTCGAGTAATCTTCCAGCCTAGTCAGTGACAAATCAGTGCTAAACTACTGTCCTGGAGACCACGACAGGCTTGTGGCCTGTCACATATGTAAATAATAACGGCAGTTTAATCACTTTACTGCTTAAGGATCGCCCTAACGTCTCGACTACAAATAATTCCACTAGTAGTTAAGGGAAGAATCGTGCTGTAGCTAGAGGTCATGGCGCACCATGATGAACATGCCATGCACTACACTAACACCGTCTCAGTCCCCCAACCACATGCGCCGATGTGCTTACGAGGTTGGCCGTCTCCTCTTCCTCGGCCGCCTGCTTGGCCACCACTTCCACCGCGAGGCTCATCTTCGGCACGACCAAAACCACCAGGACTTGATCACTGTCACTTCGATCACCAGCACCCGCTTCTCGTCACCACCACCAGCGCAAAGTCGCGGTTCCCAGTTAATCACAGCAGGCACACAAACATAAACATGTAGCCGGGTTAATCGCCAACCTGGATGCACTCTATGACATCGCGCTGCCCAGCTGACGGCCCATTACGATGGAACCAGGTTCTTGTCAACTCACACATACACACGCGCGCGCGCGCAAACACAACAGAACACAACACAGATTGATGAGCCGTATCAGCCACAGGCGTGCAGAACAATGTCCAGTGCATCACGCGTCATGTTCAGCGAATCCGCGAGGCTAGCCCGGCCAGCCCGCGTCCACCTGCACCGGAAAACAGCGGCAGGTGCCCGTCCAGCAAGTCATAGGTCATAAGGTGTCCGCTCTGCTCGTTGGTTGTTCGATGAGCGTGTAACGTCGCCCCCCGCAGTCGGTCTACCACCGGAACAACACCCCCACCGTCAGCGCCCGCACCATTCGCTGGCCGCCGAGCAGGAGCCGAGCCGCGCTAGGGGGGCGCGCGGGGGCCGCGGGGGCTGGGCCGGGTCGCAGGGCTTTATTGGGACAGAGACACGTCCACGTCCATCCGATCTGAGCGCGCCGACCACGTCCTCCCGCTTCGTCCCGGGCGGCGTCTTCGGACCTCGACGACGACGACTGCTTCCGCCGACACGGGATATCTGGCGACGTCCTCCGCACACGCAGGCGGGCGTGCGCGCGGGCTGGCGGGCCTGACGCAGTGGCGGCCCTGTTTAGTAGTGCGCGCCCGCTGCGCTGCCTGCTCGACACACACTCGCGGCCCTCGCGGCCTGACCCACAGCCGGCTGGGGGCGAGGCGTGGCGTGGCGGGGCGAGGCGCGGCGTAGCGCGGCCGACTGCTCTCGCCGCGTGAACCGACTGACTGGCTGACTCGGTGCGGCGGGCGCGATCCGCGGTGCGGCCTAGGGCCCATCCCACTGTCCTCCCCCCCTCTCGCTCCCCCTGTCCCCCTCCTCTCTCTCTCTCTGTCGCCCCCCTCCCTCCCCTTTCCCTTTTTCCTCACATATATCAGTCTCTCTCTCACTCTTTCACGTCCTCTCACCCGCTTCAAACTCAGCTGGCGGGCGGGCT